CAGCTGAATTCTTGGACTGATAGGACTCAGACCTCCTCAGCTGGTAGGAATGAAAGGTAGAGTTGGAGTTTTTAATATTTCTGCATAAATAGCAGTACTTGCTAAATACTCTGTCTGTAGTTTATAGTCAATTAAAGTTAAAAAAAGAAAATTTAAGGAAAATAAAAATACAAGAAATATTTCTCCTATCCATTGTTTGGTCAGCATGAGTGAATATGCAGCTTTGGATAAAGTGGTTCATTTGCCATCAGATTTCATTGCATTTTTAGGATCAAGTAACTCTTTGCTCCCTTTTAATGATTCACAAGATAAGCTATCTAAGTTGTCTATTTCATTAGGCTTAATAGGTAGGGCTGACCCTAATAAGACGTTTTTTTAACTTTAATTGACTATAAACTACAGACAGAGTATTTAGCAAGTACTGCTATTTATGCAGAAATATTAAAAACTCCAACTCTACCTTTTATTCCTACCAGCTGAGGAGGTCTGAGTCCTATCAGTCCAAGAATTCAGCTGGCAGGGTTCAGGAGAAGAGTGTTATCTGCCATTGCACCTGTCCTTCAGATCATCTTGCTCTTCACTTGGGAGCCATAAGAGCCAAAAGACCTGACTTTGTCAGTAAGCTTGGGGCTCCAATGTAGAAGCATCACAGCGGAGATGGTTGATCAATTAATAACAGACCCACTTCCCCTCCATTCCATCTTTTAATGGGATTGCAATATTTGGCTCTTCAATGTATTTTATTTATGTCTTTTTAGCTTTGTTTGGTTTTTATCTTTTAAGATTGTAAGCTGTCCAGAGTTACCCTGAAATAATAAATTTTACAAATAAATAAATAATAAAAATACCCAAGACTACAAAATCGTATCCTGGTTTACATCTCTTCAGCTTCGATTCAGGAAAGCAGCAGACTATGCAAACCCCTTTTAAACCCTTATAAAAGATAAAAATAAGGAAATACACCTAAATACAGAAAGGATGAAATACAGAATACCTTTTTTGTTTTATAGGCCTTCCATGTATTAGATATTTTGATATGGCTACAGAAAACTCATATGCAGCTTTCAAAAGCAATGCATTGCCCCGTGTCACTTCTGTAAGTGACTGACAACTTAGATATAAAAGCTAAAAGCAACATAACAAACTGCAATAAAATGTAAAATAAAGAAACCAAAGGAATAAAAAACAGTTGGCAGTAGCATAGTAATTAAACTGCACTGAAATCAAGGTCAATGGGGATCATCTTTGACCCTGCTTTGACAGACATGCCCATGTGCTTTTCTTGGAAACGATACAGAAGTAGTTTTCCAATGTATTCTGAATCCTTTTTTATTATTAATTTCCAGTCTTGCTTACAATTCAGGAATTGTGCCTCTCACCCAATTCTAATTAAGTCTAATTAGAATTAGAATGAATTAGCATTAATTAAGCTAAGGTTGCCTAGGTGCTATCACCCAGCAGAGCAAAAGCATTTTACCTACGATTACAATCAACAAAGAACATTTCAGGGGCTAGGAAGACAGAGCTCCACAACCAATGACACCCAAGTGCTACCGCTGTTGATCATTGCCATTTAGTTGTCCAATGTGGGCAACAAGGAATTAAAGCCGTTTGCCTCTCTGATCCTTTTCCCTTTGGGCAGTGACTGATGTAAGGATGTCAACATAAGCAACAAATGGGTGGAAATGAGGGGTTATTCTCACTGACGGCATGTCAAAACATGCGTCCACTTTAAATTTTATGTCCATTAAAGAACATAATAGCCAGGAAGATTCCTATGGCAATGGATCATCTTCCGATATCTCTAGTCCTAATCCTTGCCACAATTGTCTACAAAAGAAAGGAAAGTCCCTTTTGTCATATGGTCTGGAAGATACATGAGGAATTACATTCCATGTTCTTTATCCAGGCTGGGTTTCTAATCCTCTCCACAAATGTTTGGAATTTTTGAAATTTCCTCATTGTTCAAGAGAATAGAAACATGCGGTTAAAAATTCCTGTTGCTTGTTTCATTTAGAGAACTGTGGCGAGACCATGTGCTTCCAGAGAATTTTCTTCTTTCTTATCATCTAAAGCAGAAGGGGTACTTACTGGGAACTGTTTTTCTGCCCACCATGACCCTTTTGAGATTCTGTTTTAAAAGGATTATGAAGGGAAAGAGTTGCATGGGCTAGTCATACTGTTGTTTTCCCCCCCAAAATACCAGGAAGACTAAGCTTTCCAGCACTAGGAACTTTTTTCTTTATTAGAGAAAACAGCCCATTAAATGTTTGGTATTGCTTGATATAGTGATAAGAATTAACATACCTATTAAGACACAAAATAGGACAGTACTGAACTAAGGACAGAAGTCATTCTTTGTCCAGCTTTCTCAAAAGATTTAGCACTTAGATTTGTATATCACTTCACAGTGCTTTATGGCCCTCTGTAAGCAGTTTACAGAGTCAGCATTTTGCACCCAACAATCTGGGTCTTCATTTTACCAACTTTGGAAGGATGAAAGGCTGTGTCAACCTTGAGCTGGTGAGAATTGAACTGCCAAATTGCTGGCAGCCAACAGTCAGCAGAAGTAGTCTGCACTACTGTATTCTAACCACAGTGCCAACAAAGCTTTCAATTCTTCTAATTCTCTTTCTTTTCCCACCAAGTTCCTGAGGACGTGGTTATTCTATTTGATTCTGTGTTATAAAGTTGGTGTTAATTCTTAATCACCACATATATAGATTATCTCCAGTGGCCTCTTCTCAACCCGGTTCTTCAAGTCTTCCAATAGTTCACCTATCACCACAGCAATTGGGTTTTTCTCTTTCCTTCCATTTTTCAGCTTTATAACCTTGTCAACAGAGCTAGCTCTTTGCACAATGCATCCAAAATATGGTATTTGTGAACATTTTATGATAATTTTTTGTTAAGGTCCATATTTTTTTTCTTGGCTATTCATAATATTCTCTGGTTTTGATGTTGCATTTCCTCTAACATCAAAATTAAAACATGTCAATACACTTTCCATCTTGCATTTTCAAAGTCCAATGTTTACTTCCATTA